ATCGGATTGTGTTTCCATCACGTGTCATATGAGTGTATTGAAATTTAAATTAGGGAGAAGCTTGGCTTATGTGGAGTCTTCTAACTAACTGGAGTTTTTTTCCAGACGACTATTTGTTCAGTGTTGGTTTTGGGGATCTTTCTGAAATAAATCACATCCTCTGGTACCTTGTTGGTGCTTGAGATGCTTTCTTAAATTATATGGAAAAATGTTTAAGTGCTTTTCAGTTTTGTTTTGGTTGAATTCTACTGTATTTGAATATTTTTGTAGTTGTTTTCCCCTTGCATCATTCTTTGAATGGTTTTAATTTTTGTATGTGTGTGTGTTTGATAAAGTTATTTAGAAAAACAAATGTGACCATCTTCCTCAAAATAGTAAAACAAATTAAATTCATGAACCGAGGTACCACTGTACATGGACTCATGGGCTGCGGAGAATAAGTGAGCTGGGTGACCAGGGACCTGGGAGGAGCATTATGGAAAGTGCCTCACGTCCATGGGAATTTTATCTGAGGCTATGAACCATAGAAGAAGCACTGCATGGAGCCACTTCCAATGTACTGCTAGGTAGGGGCAGTGCATAGATGAGCCTGAGAAAATGCTTAGTCACAGGGGAGGACTAAGTGCTGAGAGGGAAAGTGAAAGCAGAGTGTCTCCAAGGGCAGTGGAATGCATCTAGTAAGAGCGCCTGCAAACAGAAGGAACATGCTAGAACTTACATACTCTTCCCAATATCTGGTCCGAACAAGTTGCTCTTCCGAAACCATCACTCCTGAAAGCGGTACGGGCCCATCACTCTCCTGTTACACACCTTCATGGTCTCTGGATTCTCCTGCAAAGACCCATGCCTCCCATCAGCAGGCCTTCCTGGATGTTACAGTCCACCCTCCTAATTCTCCCTTGGAGAGCTGCAAGATGAGGTGAGACTGTCTAACAGTGAAGTTTCACCTGAGTTATTGTACTGGTCTGTTCTCCATGGCTATAAAAAATACCCAAGGATGGATGCTTTGTGAAGAAAAGAGGTTTCTGTAGCTCATAGGTATAGAGGTTCAAGGGCTTGGGATCAGCGTCTAGTAAGGACTTCATTCTGGAAGACATCACATTGGTGGGAACATGTGTGAGAGGGAGCAATCCCATGGTGAGACAGGCGGTCAGACTGAAGAAAGGCAGTCCTGTTCTTTTATAACAACTTATTCTCATGAGAAGTAATTTAATCCCTTCCTAGGGCCCCATATCCATGATCCAACAAGTTTCACACAAGCCTGGCCTATGATCACATGAAGCTTTGGAAGAACAACTAGATGTAAACCATTAAATTAAGAAAGCAATAGAAACCCTAGAATTGGAGGAAGAGATTGTAAAACATTTGGAAACAATGAAGAGCCTTTGGAACTTATGGAACAATATCAAGTAATTGGGCTTGTAGAAGCAAAGGAGATAGTTATGCAGAAAAATACTTAAAGAAACAAAAATCAGTAAGTTTCCAACTTTGGAGATAGACATAAACCTATAAGTCTAAGAAGCTCATCCAATTCCAAGTAGGATAAACCCATGAAAAACATGGTCAGGCATAACTTAGATTGCTGAATCCCAGAGATAAAGAGGACATTACAATGATACAGAGAAAAATATATAACTTATACAGGGAACTAATTCAAATGATTTGACATCAGAAAGTATAGGAGTCAAAAGAGAAGGGAAAGGAGTTTAGTGTTGAAATACACAAATGCCAACTATATCCACCAAAATTGTCCTTCAAAGTAAAAGTGAAAAGTAAGAGCATTTGTTGTCAATATTCTCATATTACAAGAAATTCTAAAGTAAGTTCTTCAGGTTTAAAGGAAAAGAATACCAATGAAATACTTAAATTTCAGGGAGAAATGAGAACATCACTGATAATGATAAATATTTGGGTAATTTAACTTCTGAATTGACAACTGAATAGGTAAATATTAAAGAGCTCTTTTCTTTTAAGTTCTTTATAATCCTCATAAGACAATGGTATAATTTCACTTTAAACAGTCCTACTTATTTTAATGTATGTCAACATACATATGATGAATATAGCAAAAAAGAGGTGGATAAATGGATGTATATATTTACAAGATTTCTATCAGTGGTGCCTCAGTACACGAACTTGAGTCTTTCCATGATTCTAGTTGCAAACTGAGTTGGAGGAGAACCGAATCCAATTCAATGGTTAGGTTCAATGTTGACTTTATGGGGAAATTTGATTTGGTTCTTGTCTAGTGTGATTTGTGATCAGAATCATGGAGAGAATTGAGTTCATGAACCAAGGTACCAGTGTACTTTGTGAAATGCTGCAATATCAATTTTGAATGTGAAAGTTAAGGATGGATGTTGTATCTCCTAGAGCAACTATTGGAAAGTGCAGAAAGATATAGCTAAAAGAGCAATAGATAAACTCTGATCCATTTCATAAAGGAGATAATCAGAAAGAAAATGAAAAAATCACCCTTTGGATTATAAGGAAGCTGTTGTCACAGAACTAATTTTTTCTCTACTTTTACTTGCTTTATTTCTTCTACCTGAGCTCACCTCTTGCCCAGTTACCTTCAGTTAGCTGTTCTGAGATAGAACATTTCACGGAGGTGAGGGAAGTGGGCAGGAATGTGGGCCAGGGGGCATAAGCTTCTTGTCTAACAGGAAGGTGGAAAGGGAATTCCCATCTTCCCATCATGCCTTTGGCCGACTCGGGTGTGACGTTTGGACACTGAATCATAGGCCAGCCACGAGGGTTCTGGTTCTGGCCCAGCCCCTACAGACTCCATGACTTTCCAATCTCCCTGGCCCAGGGTATGTTTCTCCCTCATTGGAGTGAAGTTCATCTCCGTCTCCCTTGGCATGCCCGGTGCCTGCTGGGTTCCAGGAGACCATGTAAATAGTTGGCAGTTTACAAAGAACTCCATGCAGCCCTGAGGGGGCCTAGAACAACTTAGAATTAGCTAACTGCCTTTATCCTATGTAGCAATTCCCTAGGCCAAGATTTTATTTTCACAGTTGAACACTGCCACCTGGTGTGTAAGTGTGGGAAATGAAGGAGTTGGGTTCCCAGGAGGAAGGAAGTTCCTTTGAAATAAGTGTTTCTTGGCCCTTTAATGTCATGCTCCAAATAAAGGCTTAGGATGTCAGAGGTCAGAGCAACCTTGCTTCGGCTGCTATGACTTCTTTAAAAGGGTAAAGCAGGCACACTTAGATAGGCCCGATGGTGAAAGGCATGAGATGAGGAAGATAAGCAATGGAACCCTAGTTAGGAGCCCAGCCTCAGGGAGAGTCTGGGCTGGGGTCAGCTCTGACCTTGAACCTGGGTACTCAGACTTGGACGACTCATGTGTAGCACTGGGAGAGCAATGGTCCTAATGCTCAGGGTGTTGTGAGAACGTGTGAAATGATCTATGTAATGTTTTCAGCACAGACCTCATCCCAGTAAGTACTTAACAAATATTAGCTGTTATTATTTATACTTCACAGTGAAAAGGAAAGTTAGTGAAGTTCACCAGCACCTTCGGAATAAACTCCATATTATCCCCATTGTTCCAGAGAGATTTAGAGCAGGGGGAGGCAGAGAAAGGAGTCGGGTGATGAGATTCTTCCAGATTTGGAAGGCTATAAACAAAAAGCAATAATAACAGTTACTCTTGTGCTGCTGGCACCCATGCAGCTCACCTCCTCTGCACTGGGAGCTGTGGTACGGCGGCCCGAAAGCCTCTTCCATGCTGTGAGAGGTAATAATAGTTACTATTTATTGAGACTTGACGATGCATTAAAGTTTGTTGCATGTATGTTGCATGTTTTAACTTAGGTCATCATGGTAGCAACTCTTCGAGGAGGGATTTTTTTTTTTTTTGCTTAAATTCTTTTATCGGTATATTTTAGGTGTACAATACATTTGCATTCATCATTGGGATCTTGTACCTTTACATGATGTATCTTGCTTCTTATTTTTTCCCCATCCCCCTGCCCTCCCTTCCCCCCTCCACCCTCCCTATTTACAAAGACTTTGTTTCCATTTTTTCCTTTTCTCGTAACTTTTTCTTTCCCTTCTTTCCTTTCCACTTCCCCTCCCACTTATTGTATTAGGATTCCCATTTTATAAATGAGGACACTGGCCTAGGGAGGCCAAGGATATTCAAGATCACATGGCCAATGACTAGGGTGACTGTTAATGCTGCATGTCAGCTTTACTAGGCAAAGGGATGTGCAGAAATCTGGTTAAATATCAATTCTAGGTGTGTCTCTGAAAGCATTTCTGGAGGAGATTAGCAGCTGAATGAGTGGACTGAGTAAAGTTCACAACCATTGAAGAACCAAATAGAGCAGAAAGGGAGGAGACGGGGCATTTGCTCTCTTCTCCAACTAGAACATCTGAGTCTCTGGCCCTCCCACACTGGCTCCTCTGGTTCTCAGGGCTTGGGACTGGAAGTGAATTATACCACCATACTCCCAAGCCCCTGACTTGCAGATGTTGATCCTGGGCCTTCTCAGCCTCCATCATTGAGTGACTCAGTTCTTTACATGACTATCCATTCTGTGGGTTTTGTTCCTCTGAAGAAGCCTAACTGACATAACTAAGATATAAATATATGGAGTCCTGCCCTGGATCTCAAGTGCTTAGCTGCCATATGAGCTGCAGGAAATTAAACCTATGGCTTGTGTGAATGGGGTGGGAGCACTGTGCTTATTATGATCATTGTGGTTCTCATTATGTCAAACTCCACTAGCAACATGTGTCACCTCTCTTTCCTCTTTGGGTTGTTTGCCTTAAAAGCGTGTGTATGGAAATCCTTTTTTACAATGGTTTCAAGAGCTAGTAAATAAAAATGTCAATGCCCAAATAAATCAGAACTTCATATAAGCAATGAAAATTTATTTTAGTATAACGTGTCTCATACAATATCAGAACTTTCATATAATAAAACATAGTTTTCATGTGAAATTCAAATTTAACTGAGGGTCCTGTGTTTTTCCTTGCAGCCCTGCCTTGGGTATGCTCAGTAAGCATGTCACTGAAGATTACCCGGTGATTTTCATATTGGACACAACCACATGCCTTGCTTCTCCTGACAAGCAGATGATGGGGACAAGAGGTGACATCGGAAAGTGAGCTGGGGCCAAAAGGTAAGTTCAAGCTCACATGTGTCAGTACCTTGAGACAGAGCAGAACAGAAGCCCATTGTCAGGGGAAAATTCCAGGCCTTTCAGAGACCAGCAGGCACAATATGGGTGTCAGTCTGCCTGCTGGTGGGAAGTAAGTGTGGTTGATTTCAGCTCCAGGGGTGTGGCCTGTTGGCTATGGCCATGGCAAGTGACATGAGCTCCATGATCTTGAGTTTGCCGATGGCCTAAGGATACTGGCTTTGCAGCTGTCATCCAGCCTGTCCTACCTCCATCTCCATCCAGGGACCCCTTCCTCTTATCCTGGTGATGCTTGGTTTATTCCTTTCTTTTGGATAGCGCCAAGGTAAGCAGTTTCCAGGGAGCTCTGTGGTGTCCCCTGCTGGCCACACTGTCTTCAGATGAAAGTTTAGAAGGCTGGTCCAGAATCGGGTGGCTTAGCTTCAAGGAGAATGGCATGTTTTGGGCATAGCAGAGCCTAGTGGCTGCATAAAGTGTCACAGACCAGGTTAGTAAAATATGGAAACAAAGAGCAAGGCTAGAATCACAATTAGGAGGCTTCACCTGAAGGAATCCACAGGCTTCCTAGTGCTGAAGCAGTTGGGCATCCAGAAAAAATATGAACTACAATGATGTCAACCACCAGAGTGGAGAACAATGATTCCTCACCTCATATAATTTCCAGAACAGAGCCATGGATTAAACAGAATTCTGGGTCCCCTTAAATAATACCTTGTAATGCTACAGCAAGTGTATTCACCATTTATTTTCCTAGTTCTTCCTCATATGTACTTGCAACCTTTTATAAACTTACCTGTGTCCTAGAGAAAGAGAAATATCCAAGACTTTCAAGGAATGTTGACTACAGAGGTCACTGAGACCATGGATCTCACATGCTTTCACGTTCCCCTTCTGGACTGGCCTTTAAGTCCCTTGCATAGAGCTGCTAGGTACTCATGGTCCCAGCTATGTCAATTCTGGTACCATGGTGGGTAAAATCATCATGGATATACTTAGTAGCTGGCAGAACTGACAAAGGCCCCTAGACTGTGGAATAGAAACTATATAATAAAAACAGCTAAGTGGGGAAACCTCTGAAATTACCCAATCACTAGGCCAAGACAGTAAAGTTACAACACATTATGTTGGGTAGGCCATCTGAGTGTGCCATTTGAGGGCCATCCTCAAAGACCTTAGTGAGAACCACCAGCCCTATATCCTTAAATGCCCTTTTATTTGCTAGTCCACCTTCTGTAAAAACAGATGGCTCATAATTGATGAGGCTGCACTGTGTAAACTCTGTTAAGTGGTAGCTTGGCCATGACGACTGAGTCATTATATAGTGAATTCATAATTATAACATGACATAGCCTCTGGCATTTGGTATGTGGCTACTGATTTGGTGACTGTGTTGTTTCAATCCTCTGAGAAAGAATGGTCAGAGGCTGTTTGCATTTACCTGGGACAGACAATAGTATATGAAGGTCTTGTCCCAGGGAATTATCCCCTCTCTAATTAAGTTATCTCTAGCCATATAGTTTAAGGGTTCCTTTATCATATGAACAGTACTTTGAACATCATGGTTATCACTATACTGATGCCATCAGGATACCCTGGCCTGAGAAGGTAAAAACTGTGCAATCCTTGGTAAAGTATGTGTGCCAGTGGTGGAATAAATTCCTACAAAGTTTCAACAGCCTGGTATATTGGTGGTTATTACATCTTCTACACAGCTTGTACCATGAATCAAAACAAACTAATAGCAAGTTGGTCTTTTGGATTTGGAAAGAATTTATACCATACTCAAGGACATTGTTCCAGTGCACTCATCAAGTTGACATGGATGGCTGCCAGTTTTGCATGGTCCAGAGCAAGAAAGCTGTCTGCAGCAGATTAATCTGCAGTTATAGGTGACTCTGCCATACAGATTCTATGACTGCAAGAACTCACAGTTCTAGAGCAAGGTAGCAAATGTGACCTGTGGGCAGATCTATTTTTGTAAGTAAAATATTGGCAAACATCTATGTTCATTTATATCTTCCCTGGTGTTAATTTTATGCTACAACAGCAGAGACTTTATTGGCAGGAAGCCTAAGATATTTATTATCTTGTTCTTTGAAGACATGTTTGACTACTTCTGCTCTAGAGTAGTAATGGCTCTTACATTTTACTCTGTATGTGTACATCTAAGTGCTGTGTATTTGCTCCATCTATAAGTAATGACCATCGCTAACAATGAGTCCACGGGGTGCCTATGTCTTAGTTTCTAATTGCCATCCTCAATTAAAAGGAAACACAGATTCTTAGAGAAAAGGCTGATTTCAGAATAAAGACAGGCACAAAATAAGCCTGGAGCCTCTTGTGATAGAAAGGAAGCATGGTACCCAAAGAATTCGGGGGATATATAAAAAGCAGGCGCAGGACAGCTTCGAGAAACTGCCATTGGACAAATCTGGGAAAATTGGCAAAATAAATGACATTAATGAAGGATATATTCATTGGTATAGAATGAAAATAAGCTCAAGAACCTATGTATCCATAAATTGACTAAATGTATAAGTGAGAAATTAGTATTCTTTACAATAGAATACTAATTAGTTGAAAAGAAATGGAGCTCAAAAATCAGCAATAGATTAACTGTGGATGCAAATTTGAGGAAAGAGTTCTATGGTCTCAAAATGTCTCACTGCAAAACTCCTCTGGATTACACAAGGGAACATGTTAAGTTCAAACTGAAGGGGCCTGATTGGCAGCACCTCAGGAAATGATCAGAGTGAACGTGACTGGTACTGGGACTAATTAGCAGTGTGTGCCCTCTGATGAGAGTTCCTGTAGGGAAGTGGGAGGGGTAGTGGAAAGGAAAGAAGGGAAAAGAACAAATATGAGAAAAGGAAAAACATGGAAACAAAGTCTTTGTAAATAGGGAAGGGGGGTTGAAGGGAGGGTAGGGGGATGGGAAAAAAATAAGAACCAAGTTACATCATGTAAAGGTACAAGATCCCAATGATGAATGTAACTGTATTGTATACCTAAAATGTACCAATAAACTTAATGGAAGAAAAAAGAAAGATGAGCCACATCACTTTCGTGTGAGCGAATTATGAAAAAATTCAGATGAACTTAAATCGTTGTTCTTTAACATTGACAGGTTTTCTACCAAAAAAAGATGACTTTCATTGTGATTCTGCACTTGGGGAAGAGGAGCTAAGACAGACATAATTAGGACAACTGATGAAATTTGATATGAATTAGGTAATGTCAGTATTAACTTGCCTAAATTTGATAATTATATTGTGGGTATGTTTTTAAAAACCTCCTGTTCTCAGGGAATACCCATGAGATAAGGAGTTTCAATGTCTTCAATTTACTCTCAGATGGTTTAGAAAAAAATGTGTATGTGCATATCTACATGTATGAATTTACATGTATGTGTATATAAATATATATGTATCTTTCATGTCTACAGATAGAACACATTCGGAAAATGTAAATAATTGGTGGATCTGGATAAAATTGGTATCGAATCACTTATAATAGCCATGAAACTTTCTGTAGTTTTGATATTATATCAATATTAAAAGTTTGAAGCTAGGCATGGTGGCATACACCTATAATTTTAGCACTTGGAAGGCTGGGACAGGAAGATCAAAAGTTCAGGTCCCACCTGGGCAACTTAGTGAAGTCCTGTTTAAATATAGAAAATTTGAAAAGGGGCTAGTGGTTTAGCTCATTGTGAAGACCCTAAGTTCAACCCCTACTTCCTCAGAAGTTAATTAAAAGTTTGAAAATTAAGCAAAATGAAAGATGAAAATGTAGGAATGCAGACCCAGAACAAAAGAGTTTGGTGGGTCACTCTAAGGAGCCAAGACCTTATCCTATAGTGCCATTGGTGGATTGGAGGAAGGGCATTTCAGAGATTTGACTTTGGCCACAGTGTAGAGGAGGAGAAAGCTTGGAGACCAGGAAACAAGGAAACCAGTTTAAAACAATAGCAATGAACTTAGGAAGTGATCTTGGACTGAATGATGAATTTAACCCAAGCAAGCATCAGCACCTCCCAACTTAAATTCCAGTGGTCTCACCATATTCCCAAAAGGCTGAAGTAAGGAAGTGTGCATCAGTGTTCCTTGGCTGATCCACACTCATCTGATTACAGACATCATGATAGCGGTGGTGTGACCTTTTTGTTTCAGGTATAAGCAAACTTCTCTGTGAGGCATAAAATTTATGACCGTGACTGTAAATAAATAAGAGTCAGATAAGTATATTACAGTCTCTTAGTCAAAAGCAGTCATGTCTGTTAAATATTTATCCAGAGCTTTGGAGCATCTAACCCAAGGCAATGGCAGAAACTTCAACTGACCAGTAAATGTATGTTTTGCAGACTGGTAAATGTGGTTAAAAGTAAGTGATTCCCTTCCCAAAGTGCATTCCTCTGCATTGGAAGAATCTGAACCAACAAATGAAGATAAACTTAAAGAGATGAAGAGATGCACATAAAGTGGTTTGTCCATTGTCCTCAAAACATACCAATGAGAGAAATGATTTGGACACATGCATTTTGTGCTTTTCCAGGAAGGGATGATGGTGAGTACTAAGTCCCAGCCCATTCTGACAATGATCCATCTTCATACAGGAAAGGGAGATCAATACATCAATACTTGAATAATCCCCTAAAGAGTGATGATTAACATATTTTTAATGTGCTCAAAAATCAAAACACCCAGTCATACAGTAAATGAGCAGCTGGTCTTGGAACACAAACTCCCAGTCTTAAACAGTACAGTGGACAGTGTAGAGATCAAAGCATGCATGGGCTCTGAGCCAGGCTGGCTGAATTTGAAGACCTGCCATCTCTTCATAGGTATGTGCCCTTGTGCATCCTCAGACTCAGTCTCCTCATGGGAGAAGTAGATTTGTTAGAAACTACTGCAGAAGTTTGATGGAAAGAGTGAAAAAATAACTCACATTCAATCTGTTCCTGGAACATGGTTGGTGTGTGATAAACATCTGCTGTTAGCAGTAATAGAATTAGTGATATCTTTTATGAAACTGGATGCTGATGTTATTCTCTGAAAAAAATGGTTATTACCCAGGCAGCACTTACAACTGTGGTTCAGAGGCTCAAGTTTAAGCGCATAAGCACCAAATGGAGTCCTGTAACATCTGTGAGTAAGTCATTTCTTCTCAGATCAAATGTTAACTAAGAGAAGTCTGTAGAAGGTGTGCACTCAGCTGTGGGTTCAGAACCATACTGAAATGACCCCCACTGAAGAGAGCCGCGCAAGGCCCCTCTGCTGCCGCGACCTCAGGGCTCTGCGCTGACCCCGCCCGGGCGCGGGATGCCCAGGCCGCTGCGAGGGGCGAGGAAAAGTCGGGGTTGAAGCCCCGCTGCGCCGGGGCCGCCGTCCCTGAACAATTGGTGGGAGTTAGCACCGGATTTTACTGTTTGTGACCCTCTGCTCCCCACCCTCGATATACGCCACACCCGCGATTTACCTTGAAAATCTGAACGTGGATTAATCCATGTACAGATCTCAGAAAGGAGTGGTGGCTTGGCTCCAAGTAAGAGCACAGTGCATGTGTCCAACTTGCCCTTCTCCCTGACAAATGACTTATACCGGATATTTTCCAAGTATGGCAAAGTTGTAAAGGTTACTATAATGAAAGACAAAGATACAAGGAAGAGTAAAGGGGTTGCATTTATATTATTTTTGGATGAAGACTCTGCAAAAACTGCACCAGAGCCATAAACAACAAACAGTTGTTTGGTAGAGTGAAAAAGGCAAGCATTGCTATTGACAATGGGAGAGCAGCTGAATTCATCCGAAGGCGAAACTACTTTGATAAATCAAAGTGTTACGAATGTGGGGAAAGTGGACACTTTAAGTTATGCTTGTCCAAAAAATATGCTCGGAGAACGTGAGCCTCCAAAGAAGAAAGAAAAAAAGAAGAAAAAGAAAATTGCCAAAGCAGAAGAAATTGAGGACGTAGCAGAAAGTGAAGACGAAGGGGAAGACCCCGCTCGACAGTCTCAGCCAAGCCGTCGCCTTCTTGAAAGCCAAGATTGGAGAACAGAACAAACGGAAACACAGTGCAGCAGGCCCCTCAACATCAGAAGATTCACGGCGCCCAAGGATAAAGAGGAGCACGTACTTCAGTGATGAGGAAGAATTTAGTGATTAGAGTTGTATTATGTAGATGTCAGGAAAATAAAAATCATCTGCAGTACAAATTATTTGCCTATAGGAACATTTAATATCAAATATTTTTTTTTACTGTAAAATAGGGTGTAGAAAATAAAAAATAATTTTTAAAAGTTAAAAAAAAAAGAACCATATTGAAATGAAGGAAAAGGGGACAAGGGAAAATAGCTGGTACTGAGAGTATTTTCAAGGAGTTTTCCTTTCCTTTTCCTTGGATGTTGTCTACACTATGCTGAGGTCCCCTCAGGTCCCTTTCATTGTTTCTCTGTGCATCTCCCCGTCCTGATGAGTTTCCTTCCAATGGTTCATGGTTGTTTCTCCTCTTCTCAGGACTGCCCTTAGGATACTGGAGCTGCTTGCCCTCTCAAACAGCAAAGACAGAAGGGGTGTAAGCTCTTTCCTGGCAAGACAAAAGCTCCCAGATTCCAGGCCTGCCTTGGGTGAACTCTGAGGCTCACAGTCTGAGGGGAGGTCCCTTTCCTGAGGACTGAGCCAGAGCACTTTGCTTGGCAGGGCAGCATTTCTAGTCCTCATTTTCTGCTCTGTTGGGGGAGCTGTTCTTTAATAAACAACTTCCACATCCTCACTGCAGGCTCTAGATCCAGGGAGCCCAAGCCAGGGTGCTTCCCATGCTATGCCCCAGTGCCTCTTCAGATGTGGGTCCCCATGCTGAAGGCCCTGTCTCTCCTTCCTGTATGTGGTGAGGCACTGGAGCCAGAAGGACAGAAGAGCCTTGATTTGCATTTCTCATTCCTATAGCAGGAAGTCACATCTCATGCTCTCTCTGCTTATATCTGACAGTTTAATGAAAATTTTACTTTTCAAGGAATGACTTTATGAAAGGAACCTTTGCTGGACACAAAATCAATAGGAGATCTCAGGGCACTTCTTTCAGACTCTTCTGGGTTTCTTACAGATTTCCTGAAAGTGTTGTGTTTAGAGGTTGAGACCTGGCCCTATAAAGACCTCTTGGTGTACTTGGAGACCCATGACCAATTTCTTTATTTGTGAAATTAGGGCATTTTTGAGAACCCAAAGGAAGATATAGACTCCTTCCCAAGTGAGAAGCCCATAGTATACCAGCATCATTGGTTGTTTCCAGAACTTTGGGATCCCACTGAAAACCATTAGTGGATCCTCCCTGGAATATTTATAATGCTCTGATGAACCATTATAGTCTGTATTTCTGATTTCTGAAGTCTGTAACTGAGACCCGCTTAATCAAGGACAGATTGTCAATGTTTGAGTAACTATAAATTCTTCTGAAGCAAGAGTGCCCAGAACTGTTTTTAATTTGGTTTATTTGTGGAACAAAGATGTAATTTATTGCCAAGAAAGTGTGGTTGGAAGTGAAATCCTGCATGCGGGGAGAGCACATCTGGCAAAGGCACACATCCTGGGGTAGTGGTCTTCAGGGGACTCTCAGGAGTGTTTTCAGTAGAGCGGGGTTCACAGCATGGAGCTCAGAGTTTCTAACTTCAGCTGTGTAGCTTGTCAAGGCAAGAACAATGGCTCAGATTTACAGTTTTTCCTGTATTAAAATGGAAAGAGGAAAAAACCCACTACCTCCCTTCTAGGTTTATAGTGAAAATTAAATGAGACCATGTTTGTATATTCCTTGGCCATGATTGTCTTCCTCTATTTTATCTCGACTTTATGAGTTCCTCTTCCTGCCTTAAACAGGGATGTTCTGAGCTGTTCCATCCTTGATCCAGTAATGTTCATATCTATGCTCTTGAGTTTTAAATACATGTGTTGCTGATAACTTCAAAGTGTTTACCCCCATCCTTGACCTCTCCCTTCACATTCAACATCCTTGAACCCTCCCTTAACATTCAACAATCACCAGCTCCAGGATGGATATTTCCCTATGGAATGCATTTCTGTTGCTTTGGTCTGTCCACCAGACAAATCTCTTCTTGGGTAATGAGACACCTCTTCCTTTTGGAGATTTCCTGGCCTCCACTTCCTCCTACCAGAGGAAAGGAGACACAATGCAGAATTACTGTTCAAAGTATTTTCTCTCTTTGGTCAATTATTTTCCAGGAGTAAACATCTGAACCAAGTGAAGACTCTCCCATCCTAGTATAGCCACCACCGCCTCCCTAGCTTACCATCAGTCTATTAGGCAGAATTTTCTCTGGCTCTGTGCCTCTCTTGTTATCATGATGGAACCAGGGAGAATGGATTTATGTCAAACACACCTGACCTTGGCATTTCTCTACTAAAACCTGTCCTAAGATCCGCTGCCCAAGATCACATCTAATTTATTCACATGGCACACAAAACCTTCCATGTACTCCTGAGCTATTTCTCTGCTTCCCATATTGTCATCCAGAAATGGCACAACCAGAAAACGCATTCCCAGAAAAGGCATCATCCATGGGTGATGCCCTGTAGCCTCCCCTGTGCTTTGTGCATCACCTCGGGAGCTGGTAGAGTTTGTGTATTAAAAATGTGGCTTTGGAATCACATGGATCTGGGTTGGAATCATTGTTCTAGTGTGCACCAGCTACTGCTGGGGCAAGCAACCTCTCAGTCTAATCATCTCCATTGAAAAGTAAGGCTGCTAATAGTAGCTACACACGGGAAGTGTTTACAACCATATGGGAAGACAATAAAACTTGGTAATCACTGAACATTTTTGTTTGTGTTATTTCCTTTGTCTAAAATACCCTCATTGCTGTCTCTTTGTACCAATACTCTATTTTAATCAGCTTTTCCATTTCTGAGACAAACTACCTGACACCCAGAATTTATAGAAAAAGAGGTTTATTTTGTATCACAGCTTTGGTTTCAGTCCCGGGTCAGTTGGCTCTAAGGCAGAAAAGGCATAGCGGAAGTTCATGGAGGAAAAAAGCTGCTCACCCCATGCGGGCCAGGAGGCAGAAATGGGAGGAGTTAGGGACAAGAATATACCTGTATAGGTCACATCCCCAGTGACCCATCTCTTCCAACCAGGCCCGACTGCCCAGCAGCATATTGGATGAGTATAACGCCCCTATGAGGCAATCACCTTGCAGACTCTTGGGGTACACTTTAAATTTAAACCATAGCACCTCCTTTCTTCATTGCTGCTCAGCCCTAATTCAGCTCAGATACCTCCCAGGATGCCTCTTGGGCACAAATGTGCTTCCCAATTATCCTTGAACCATCATTGCTTGTTCCATACAGGATCATCAGTTTCACCCCATCTGCTCTGAAATACTTGAAGGCCCGATTGTGTCATCTGTCTGTCATCTAACAATTTCTAGATTGCAGTGAATAGAAATGTCAGTCATCTTCCTCTCAGTGTCTGATAGGTAGCATGAGAGAACTAAGCAACAGCCATGTTGATTTCCTTGGATTCTTTGGCATGCTGAGTTTCATTTAATTTTCCAATATGCACAGTTTAGAGCTATTATACCTGTCCACTTCTGTCTGGTTAGGCTCTGGCAGGTGAAATATTGGGAGATACAGGGCTTGTGAATATAAATGAACAGAAATAACTTGACAGACATTCTTTTTTCTTTCTGACAAAAGCAGTTCTTTTTCGTCATTCACTGTTCTTAGAGTAATGGGTTGTGAAAATTGAATCAGCATCTCCTTATATTGCAAGAGATTTACTAGGCTGAGCCAGAGATTCTAAGACTCTGAGAGACTCTAGAGGAATGTTAAAGACTTGATTCCTACCATGCTCTCTATCCTTTACCCCCGATCCAGTTCAGAAGGAATGTATGGTTCCCACACAGTTCCTCATGATTACAACATCTGGGGATTACTGAGTTGGAATGACAATGCTAGGGGGAAAGTCTGATGAGCTTTATAGCTTTCACAAGTCAGACTTCTGAAGGCTGCTCACTTTTATAATGAGAAAAGTGAGGCTTGGAAATGAGTTTGCCTGGGTGGCTATCTCTTTTATAGATGAGGAAACCAGGGATCAGGCAGGTGAAGCCATATCCCCAGGATCACCCAGCTACCGCCTGTTAATGCTGAAGGAGAATATTATGTAAGGTATATTTAAAAACTAGCAGAAAGCTGGCATTCAAGAACACCTAATATGGTTTTCGCACACTTGGCAACTGGGAAGACTGGTCCTAAAATGTTCCTGCTAGTCCCTTCTCATATTTTAAATATTTCCCCAAAGTTGAAAGTCCTGCAGTGTACTCTCAAGTTACGACTGGCCTGACCTACAAATAATTTTGGCTAATTAGGTGGATGGAAATTTCATCTGCCTCTTATTGTCTGTACCATGTACCCAAGTAAACATCCAGATCTTACCTGTATTGACTTACAACCAACTTGAGTTACAACCAGCCCTCGGGAATTGGTCAAGTTCATAAGTCAAGGATCCGCTGTATTTCACTTACCTCTCCCCACATTTTCACACATAGGAGGGATTTTCTGGTTCTGCAGATGTGCACGAGGGACACTTCCAGCCCGTATTCCCATGACACACACACTTGCCAGCTGGGAGCAGAGGTGGGCATAGTGCTGCCATATTTAGGATGTGGGGCTCAACCCACCTTGGAGTTCATCCTTTCATTCCCTCACACTGCCGACAGGTTGGTGATCCTTCCTGTGCCACTTACAGCTGCAAACTAGTCCAGGACATGACTGCTTTTGTCCCACGGGGTCAGAGCGTGGTGGCAGCCTCTATATCAATTGAAATATCGGGAGACTCATTATGACCACACATATGAGCTACATCCTCCAGTCTGGTTGTGAACAGTGGAGTTTATGAATTTGACTCTCTTTGACTTCCCCTGAGTTACCACTTAGTTGAGGAAGGCCAATTAAGAATAATATCGTGGTCCATTGGCCAAGGACTTGGAGACACGCATTCTAGTGGCTAGAAATAAAACTAATGAGGAGCAAGATCAAGGCTTTGGGCTTAGGCAAGGGCAAGACCTCAGAAAGCAGTAACTGTTGATTAGTAACAGAAACCCATTTCTCCAGTGCTAGCACTGAGCAGCTGTTTCTGTTCAGTCAGGCTGATCAGGAGGGAGGAAGCAGAGCTCTGTGTAGCTCTATGCATGACCTGAACTGACTCAGGCACGTGCAGGCATTCTCTTGGCAAAATGAGGCTGTGACAA